AAACTCAGATACCATCAGTGAAAAGACTTGAACTTCTAGTCTCTAGCTTTTTCTTAGAATTTCAAAAAAGCAGAGAAATGTGGAAGTTCAAGAGTTTTCAGATGTTGAAGTAAGATTAGGAAAAAGCTTTTACACTTCATTGGGACATCCAACTCGGGCATGAAGTAGCTGCCTTAGTAGAAGCATAACTTGAGAGCAAAAATTTATTTGAAAGTTCCAGTGCCCATAGTGAACATTAGCTCTCAAGGGATAAACTGTGAGGCAGCCCAAATCCTGCACTGTTTACTGAGTCCACTGAAATCATGTGAAGTTCAAACCAGTTAGAACCAGCATGTTTTGGATCACAACAGTTTGGACCCCGTAGAAAGCCCACTGACTACAGTGGAGAAGCGCCGTCTAACAGCAGTGCTGACCACAACCACGCAGCACTACAGAAAAGAGAGTGAGTCCACATCACCCTTTCTCCGCTTTCTTCCTCATTGTTTTTATACTTTCAAAAATATATGGCTAGGAAAGACACTGTGGCAGCCAAAGGATGTGGCGTGCACAGACAAGCTGCAGGCAGGGTGACAGCGTGTCCTCAGTGCATCTGCAGCCTCCCACAAGATTTGCATTTGACATCCATCTCCCCATTGTTAAGACATCTTTATCTCAGTTTTCAGGAAACGTCAGATGACTCATCTATCGGAACATCTGATGAAGTTAATGTAATTTCAAAAATGAATCCTACTTAGGCGTATTTTTCCAAGCAAAAAATGAAGAAAAATGTTTTAAAATTATGCTAAAAATCTAATTTCTGTTGCAAACCAGTTTCCTGATTTAGGAACCCAAGAGCTTATTTTTTCTGTAGACAGTTTAACAGGCTTTTAGGCATCCAAATTTAGGAAAAAAATCCTACGGCATTTAAACAATGCAGAGCCAGAGCTGGAGCTGACTCAGCCACTCAAGCGCACAATTTGAATATACTACATAATCATTCTTGTTTTAAAATTATCCTCCTAATATCTAAGGGCTACATTATCCCACACACATTTATCTTGATTAATGCACTACCCTAAGGACAGCCTTGCAGATTTCATTAGGACTAATTATGAAGCAGGGTATTCAACAGCGGGATGATAAAATCTTGCTCTGATTGACACGACCCTGACCTCTTCCTTGCACTACCTCATCGAGGTCACAGAAATGTATGTGTCTTCCTTTTTCTCCTCCACACTTCTAATTAACATGTAACAACTGCTGTTTGTTACCGATTCAGAATTAAGAAAGAACACATAAGGTGCACACACAGGACATGCTTCCCAACAAATGGCACGTGTCCCAAGATCAACGCTGCAGTGCCACAGTTCCACAAGCAGCCCCTGCAAACCCCGACACAGTACCTGCGGGTGGCAACACAACATGGAGGAGAGATTCACGGGAGTAAATGCCCCTCTATTTTTTACTCTACACCTACATACACAGTTTTTGTTTTCATTTCGCAGGGAGAAAAAACAAACAAAGTATTTCACCCAAGCTAAAAGTTCCACTTCTGAAATCTATTTTTACCTCTTATGAGCAGACTAGATGAGTCGTACTTGCTTGCGGCTGGCTGTGAGCTCCGTGCACTCCGTCCCTGCACAACATCTATGGAGGACACCTGGGACGGAGGCCAAAGTCTGCCAGGCAGAGCTGAAGGGTACTGCCATTTCATGGGGTCCCCTCAGAAAGTATTTGCTTTGCCTGTTTATGTTCTAAATATAGCAGAGCACACCGGCCATCTCCAGCTCATGAGCAAGTATTGCTATCAGGGGCTGCAGCTCTCTGCAGCACTAACACACACCTGCGTGATGTCAGCTAATATAAAGCATTTTTTCTAAGACACACTAATTCATGGGAGCGCTATGAGTGAAAGATGCATTCATAGTTTGTAAAGAAAAATTCAGTGACTAAATACCTGTCTTATGTCCAAGAGACAATGCAAGAATAGCTGTTAATACTAATATTACATACATTTATAAGAAATCAAGTATTTTAATATTAAAGTCAATTTTTAGGTGTACTGCTATTTTAGTAAAGAGCAAGGACATTACATCCACACTGAATTATTGAAAAATTAAAAATTACTTCTGAATGTCCTAATCAAAAATCTTTTTTTTTTCTTTGGTAAACTATTAACTGACCATACAGGGTCTAGACAAATCTGGTATAACATTTCCCTAAATTGTTTTTGCATAACATCTAAAGTTTGTGATATTGCAGAAAATGTAACAAAATAACTAGTGCTTGTTTAGCTTAGCACACACAAAAATTGACAAAGATGTGAAACAAAACCAAAACTGAGTAACTGCTTTTCTACCACGTGGATTGGACAGGGAATTCAATGAAGAGATATTCCATTTTCTGATTACCAAAGTTATTTTCATAGATTATAGAAGCTATTTAACTAAAAAAAAAGAAAGAAAAAAAAGCACGCTCAGGAGCAAGCAGGTCTCCTTATGCTGGAGGCAGCAGCAACGCGACCTAGCCCTGCTCCCCAGGCTGCAGTGAGGAGGATCCACTGGATCCCCTGGGAGCCTCTCCAGGACACAGCACATGGAGGAAGCACCTCAGCCACACGTAGACCTTTTAGCATGAACACCAGTAAACATATCTGGTAAGCAGTGTATTTTTAAACAGCAGATTCCTTCCCAGCTTACAACTCGGCTACTGCATTGACTTTACATGGGCAACGGAAGACTCTCTTCGACAGGGTATTTTGAAGCAATGTCATAATGCTGTAATGTTACCTACAGTTATTATCCATGGACCTTGCAGCTCTTTACAAAGGTGATAATTATCTCCTTCATTAAAAAAGGAAACGGAAGAGCCCTGCTGATGGCAACACAAGAGCCAGCCGTGGCGCCGGGGACGAGGAAGCCTGGCCAGTCCCCAGTTTGTCTCTCATCCACACACAAGCCCAAGCTGCCGCTCTGGCTCCAGCACCGCTGGTCTCCTCGTCCAGCACCAAGATTTTAAGGCACTTCCAACGACCACGGATGTCAGAAATCTGAATGGAGGACACTGATGTACAGCAAACTCAGGTGATGCCTCCCATAACGAAGGAGATTCACGTCCAATTAACTCTGGCATCTTGTTTCAACCTTTTCGGTTGGATCCTCGCTCTGAAAAGCGCAAGGCCAGAGGAGTAAGGCCGCCGTGACTGCACTGCGCCGTGCGATCAAATAGCAGTTCAGTGGGAAATTAAAGCGGGGGATACTGCAGGTACTATTTTACATCTTCACTCTCACACCCTCTCACACAGAGGCAGGTTTAAGTCACCAAGGCCAGGCCCATGTTTCCGGCAGGTATGCCACCATGGGTGCAGCGCTGCAGCACGGCTGTCCCCGCTGCGGCAGGCCGTGCGGCCTCCGCCACTGCCAACACACCGGCGGGG